TAACAACGTTAAAAACATTAAAAATCTTTTTTAAAGGGTAAAATATGAATATTCTTACTGAGGTAGAACTCTGATCTCATTAAAATTAACCTTTGGTCTTCCACAGTATCATACATGGCACCACCATGGTAAAAAGTAACAGTTGCTAAGGTATCTAGAACGGCTTAAGCCTTAAGGCATTTAGTTATTTCCATGTCAGCGTTGTTGAGAATACCAAAGCGGTTTCATCTGGCTTTAAACTAGTTTAACTCACCATGACATTTGTGGTTTGTATCAGAGACCTCTGCGCAAAAATCTAATCCTTCTCACAGCACTGTTTAGTAGTCACGTGATCGAGACCAGTAAGATCGAGACGAGCGGAACACACCAAACTAGCCCGACCGTCGCTCGGCTTGGTGTGTCCCAGCCTTAACGGTTACGGCCATTTTAAATGCTCAACCTCTTTAAAGCAGGATGGATTCTGTTTGGCTGTCAATGTTTTTGTTGTTCATCAGCTGGAAAAAAAGGTCATGATTTCAACAATATCGTTCCTCTGTGCTGTTATCATTATAGTTTAGGTGTGGACTCTCAATTCAGGACTTACTATATCTTAATCGTAGTATCGTCCTTGGTGTGAACTTGCCTTAAATTCCACACCAATTTTTTTTTTTCCGGTGTAATTTATCAGCTGATGCTCACTGGAACCCCAAGTCATATGACTCATGGTTCTTCCATTGAGCTCATACTTGTTGAACGACTCAGCTGACAGCAAACAAAACAATATACAATAAGTGAACTCTGTATCCCAATAATGACAGCAGTCATAATTTCATTCTGAAAACTTACTGTTTCTCTCCCTCTTGGCAGGTCTTCACAGCTGCTTGTTTGGACTGACTGATCAAGCTGTCTATCTTTTTCAGGTATTCCACTGGTGACAGATCAGCATTCGCTTCACATCTAGAGTCTGTTTGGCTTTTGGGGATCTCATTAGAAATCTCTGTGTGTATTTGTGCTGCTGGACTTGCTTCGTCCTCGGTCAATTCCACTCCATTTGTGAAAGACACAGACTCTGTCAGCACGGGGATGAAGAGGGACTCCTTCAGGAACATTGAATAATTTGTGTACAGTCTGTTTGCCCTTTTTATTTCCTCCATCTGTAAAGACAGAAAAAGAAGTTGCAAGTACATTACGCTGATAATTTAGTAATTACATCCAACTAAAGTTTTAAAAGGTCAAATTCCTCAAATACCTGCTTTCTGATTACTTACAGACACGCCATATTTCAGTGATAGTCCTTGCAAAGTCTCACCGGGCTGAACTTTATGTTTAATTCGTCTTTGTCTAACGGGTGATAATGAAGAGGACACGAGGCTGCCGTAGGACCGGGTGCGCTGGCCGCGTAGGAGGCCGTGAGTCCCCGCCAGTGACGCTGAGTGATCGGAAGACATGACCCGAGCTCCAGCGTTTAACCTTTAACTAATAATGACTTAAGATGAACTTCAGCTGACCATCTGCGGCTACTGAACGCATGACGGCAGGACTGAACATGAACAGCTTCTGCTATGAGTCAATTTAAATAAAGAAATAAAGTCTGCAACAATAAACAAACAATCTCTGATTTAATTGTTAGATTAAACTGGTCAGCGATCGACATTGCGAACCGAAAGCTTTTAACGCCACTTAACAGTAAATAAAGCACACTGTCTGTGACAAATAATAACTCGGTCCTACGCAGACCCACAGACGTTTTAACATTTTTTAACTAACTCGCTTAAATAACAGTGCCGCCCCAAAAACGAACAATTCAGACATTAAGTAAATCATCAACCATAAAAATAATAGAGATATATTACCGGTAGCCGTTACATTTTAAGTTCAGACAGTCTTAATTCTTATTTGTCCCAAGCCCTTAACAGATTATTTTAGCCTCTGTTGCCATGGCGTCAGCTAAATATAAGATCCTCCCATGTCCCACTCCAGCGAATCGATTCTTTTTGACAATAAACTGCTTTAAAACGATTCGTCAGTTCTTTTTCGTCATCACCTGTTTCTTGAGGTTTTACATGCCTTGAACACGAATAAACCTTATTTTGAGACGGACAGTCATTCATACAAAGAGAGTGGTTTAGCTTTGAAGGGATCAGTCCGATTTGCGAAGGAATCATTCACGAACTGACTCGATAAATCATGAACCAGACATCACTACCCATAATTCCAGAGACAAACACAGGAAGAAAGGGATGTTATTAGTACGCCGGTGGCAGTGAAATAAGAAATAGTTGCTTTTAATACCTGGATAAACAAGACTGCAGGTCGCCAAACATGTCTTTCAAAAGGGAGGGTGATGATCAAAGTCAGCTAAATGTACTGAAGGTATAACAAAAACAGCAAGCAGCAGACCGATATGTGTTATTTGTACACATGCACCAATCCCTTTTCCCTTTTTCTCACTGTTTTTCTGTCTCTCGTTCTCTTACAAGAAACGACGCGTTGCAGATCTTCTGTCTAACTTCATCCCAGATGATGAAGCTACTCTGATGAAAAATGGAAGGTGATTATTTATTGCAGGCTGTTTGGATTGCAGAAAGAAGTCAGTAACATTCACAGTCACATTCACTAATCAAGTAATATGTGTTATCCCACTGTAGATACAGCTGCCTTGTGTGTTCTCACCGTCCTGTGTTTGACACTGTTGATATGCTCGTGGTGCACAGGAAGGGAAAGCAACACCTTGAAGGTGAGATTCTACCTCTGCATTTACTCAGCTTCTGTATAAACCAGCATTAAGAATTTAATTTTAACTTTGGTCTATTTGTTCATAGGAATGAAATGGTTCTATGGCAAAAAGAATCACCTGCAACGTGAAATTGATAAAAGAAGACATCAAGACTATGTTAAAGCAGAAGATGATCAACAGGTAACTGAATTCATTTTCTTTAACCAGTTTATGAACCAGTAGAATTCAAAAGGCCATCCAAATTTTATCATCATCTCATATTGTAATTTATATAACAATGAACGTCAGAAGTTTACACAAATTTAAAATGGTCTTTAAATTGTCATTTATTTGGCCCAAAAAAGTGCAGTATCTTAAATAGTTCTTCTTCATTTGACATCATAATATATATATATATATTTTTTTTTTTGTTCAAATTTTTTATTACAAGGATTTATTTTTTATTTTAAATCACAGATTTTCAGTGTGGTCTCAGGCTGTAATGCATACACATATAACAAGGTCATATACTCATTACATTATCTCTTGTCCTCAGGAACCCTCCAGTTCAGCTCCTCTACTGAGCCAAACACGTAAAATTACCCATCATGCCCTACTCAGAACTGCTCCATACAGTAGCTGCCACAGAAAGGCCAGGTAATGTCTGTGAGCTGAACCATCTTTGTGTCATATGTCTGAATTTGTTATAGTCCTCTCTAGGCTTTTTGTGTCTTTTTAGTTTCATTGATTATTTAATTTTTTGCACATTTATTTAATCTATTTCTACATTCATGAAGTGAACGATTGGAGTCATCAGGATGTGGTCAAGAAGACAGAAAAGATCAAATCAACAATATCAACTCATCAACTCATTCGTCCATTAGGACAGGAAGTATTGACTCCATAGCAACAACTAGTACAACAGGTACTACAGATATTTATTTAAAGGCTGTAGACATTTTGTGCTTATATTTTTTCATTTTCCATATGCATTATGTTAATTGTCATTTGTAGTGCATCAGGGACAGACTAAAGAAAAAGGAGAGACAAAGAAGAGGAAGAACGGATCCAGCACTGTGTGTGAGCCTCTAACAGATGAGACACGCAAAGAACTGGAACACTACCTCAAATTAAAAAGGTATGACAACACTTGACACAGTGACTCACATTTAACTCACATTCTGACTACAGAACTGATGCTAACATCCAAATAGGTATTAAAGGAATAGTTCACCCAAAAATGAACATTTGCTGAAAATGTACTTGCCCTCTCAGGCCATCCAAGTAGATGAGTTTGTTTCTTCATCGGAACAGATTTTGAGAAATTTAGCATTACATCACTTGCTCACCAATGGATCCTCTGCAGTTAAATTGGTGCCGTCAGAATGAGTCCAAACAGCTGATAAAAACATCACAATAATCCATAAGTAATCCACATGACTCCAGCCCACCAATTAACATATTGTAAAGTGAAAAGCTGCACGTTTGTAAGTAACAAATTCATCAGTTAGACATTTTTAACAAGAGAGAAATATGTACAGATCAAGCACCATTTATAAGCAAAAACAGTTCTAAACATTTCAATTTTCATTTTCAAATTTTGATGTGAGAGGACAACAGTGGATGGACTTTTTCACTGGTGGATGTGTTATGGACTAGTCTTGTGGCCAGAAACAACAGTTTACAGTGATGAATTGGTTTCTTCAAAATCTCTCATTCTGATGGCACCCATTCACTGCAGAGGATCCACTAGTAAGCAAGTGATCTAATGCTAAATTTCTCCAAATCTGTTTTTGATGAACAAACTCCTCTACATCATGGATGACCTGAGGGTGTGTACTATTCATTTAAAACTAAATGATCTCATCTGTAGTACCCACATAGAATTCATTAAATAACTGTATACTTCTCATAGATTATCTCTCATTCTCTTTTCTCCTTTTTTCTCACTTGTCTGTTCCAGTTCAGGATGGCTGCAGGACAGAAGTGGTAAATGGGTTAAAGATGAGAATGCTGAGTTTGACTCAGATGAAGAAGAACCGGCTCTGTTACCTCCTTGCAGTGAATCTTCATAGCAGACTCAATGCTGTTCAGTAACTGCCAAAAATGCTTCAGAATACATTTAAACTGAACTGCGTGCAAGATGACGATATTGTCTCTAGTCACAGCTCTCATATGACATTTCTGTGACCTACTTTATATACAATAAGGTCGAAAATATAAGACATTCTTTCTGGAAAAGAGTTTGTGCTGTTGCATTTTGCAAATTGTATTAGTACTATGTACTTGCCATCGTGTTTAAACAATATCTGAACCAACAGAGGTTGTTTTAATATAGAACATGCACAAAGAATTGTAATATTTCTATGTGAATAAAGTGAGGAGGTTGTGACCTCATTGTGTTGAATCTCATCTGGTGTATTTTCACAAATATTTTCATATTTAAATATTTACATTATCCTTTTACTTTCAATGTCAGAATGTTGGTTGTATGATGAAAGAGGTCCAAATCTATTCCAAAACGAGAACAGAATGTGGAATGGCAGCTTCGTTCTGATCCTTTGCTAGGTGCCATCAGATTTTGGCATAGTGGGACTTCACATTCTGATGTAGGCCTGTAAAGTTTAGACAGCCACCAAAATCAAAACCCCATATTAACCTACATGCTTGTAGTCACAAATTAAAAAAAATACTCCATGTATATATTAGCCTTTAAAAATGGCAATAATGGTAGTTAAGAGGTGACTCTTGAGAATCTTCAAAAGTTAGCATCTGTTCCAAATGGGAAGCATAAATCGCCTCGAGGAAGGTACAGTAGTATATTTGGAGCGTTGTAACTCAAACCCATGAGACTGGGTTTCATGACTGGGTGGTTCGTGTGTAAAAATAGGTTAGTAGAGGGGGAGCAGGAAGCCCTGCCATGGGATATTGAATAGTTCCATTTGTTTTGTGCCTCTGGGTTTGGGTCATCATATAATTAAAGTTATGACATGAGTCATGCATTATTTTATCTCAATCCTCCATTAATTCAATAATGCATCATCTAAATCTAATCTAAATTGTTACAGTCCAGATCTATAAATGATAATGAAGCTGTTTTGTACAGTGAGTGTGCTGAGAGCATCTGCTCTGAGAATGCATTAGAGTATTTACACTACCGTTCAAAAATATGGGGTTGGTAAGACTTTTTAAATGTTTTTGAAAGAAATGCTCAGCAAAGCTGCATCTGATCAAAAATACAGTAAAATGGTAATATTGTGAAATATTGCAACTTAATTTTTTTTTTGTATTTTAAAATAATTTATTCCTGTGATGGCAGAGCTGAATTTTCAGCAACCATTCAGTGTCACATGATCCTTCAGTAAACCTTTTAATATGCAGATTTGGTTTTTAAGAAATCATTTCCTAGTATCAATGTTGAACAGTTGTGCTGCTTACTATTTTGTGGAAACTGTGATACTGTGAAACTGTACTGTGAATAAAAAGTTCAAAAGAACAGAATGTATTTGCAATAGAAGTTTTCTGTAACAATGTAAATAAAATGTATTTGCTGTTGTTTTTTTATCAGTTTAATGCATCCTTGCTAAATAAAAATATTAATTTCTTTAAAAAAAAAAATGAAATAGCCTATTGACTCCAAACCTTTGCACATAAGTGTATGTCAGTGTTTTCACAGAACAAACCTGGATTAAATGATGGTTTTGTAATTTAATGAAACTTTGAAATCTGATTAGACAATATAGAATGTAATATTTTATTTCAAATATTTACAAAAAACCTTTCCGGGAGCACCATATTACCAAAAAAAAGAACTGAGCAACTGGTGTCTTTTTCAAGTTTGCAAACTGAGGTATTAAGGAGCAGGTCAATTTTATTAGATCAGAACTTTTGATTTGATGAAATCCACAAAAAGCAATGAAGTCTTATCAAGTTGGCGATAATAATATCCACAATGGCTGATGGCGAATGGTAAAAGCATATCGGGGTCATCTGTAGGGGTTGTCCTGGCTGTTACTGGAGTGCCTGTAGGACTCCAAGAGTGCACATGAGAACTTTGATATCTCCTAAATGAACTAAACTCCATCCTCTTTTCATCTTACTCTCTGTTGACGAACTGGAGATGGGATAAACACAAAATATCAAGTTCAGTGTAGGAACAAACATCAAAATGAATGAAAAAAATGTTCCTGTTTCAGCTAAAGACAAGTACAAGCTGCAATGTTTGGGAAAATAATATGAGAATACACTCACGGATATCATTGTTTCTGGTGATGGCCAACGCGGCTCTTGCACGCGGGCCCTGCTGAGTGAAGTGATAACCAATCTTTATGATGCTGGGGTTGTTCTCCAACATGGATGCAATCTCCATCTCAACTGAGTCGCCTAGTATCTGTCTCTGTGAGAATGTACATGAATGATTTCGTTTTCAGATTTGAAACTCATGCCATCAGATGTTTTTGGAAGGAGAGTTTTAGGCTCTTACTTGGTTGTCGATCTTGATCTCAGTCAGGGTAGAGTTTTCCTTCAGTGCCTTGATGATGGCCATCATGCCTTGGGCAGTAATGAAGTTGGACTCAATGTTGAGGCTCTGCAGGGTAGTGTTGGACTGTAACATCTCAGCTATAGCCTGACTCACAGGAACAGAGCAGGAGAAACAACTGACATAATCACAATACATACAGAGGAAAACAGTTGAAAATTGATTTTATGAAGAATATTATAAATAACTATTGATTAAAATGTGGGGTCAGTAAGATTTTTTAAATGTTTTTGTCTCTTATGCTAACCAAGACTACATTCAAAAATACAGTGTGTGTATATATATATATATATATATATATATATATATACAGTATATATATTATACTTTAAAAACAAATGTTTTCTATTTTCATTTATTTTAAAATGTAATTTATTCATGTGATGGCAGAGCTGAATTTTTAGCAGCCATTACTGCAGTTTCCAGTGTCACATGATCCTTCTAATATGCTGATTTGCTGCTCAAGAAACATTTATTATTATTATTATCATCAATGCTGAAAACAGTTGTGCGGATTAATATTTGTGTGGAAACAAATGTAAAAAATCAACATTTATTTGAAATAGAAATCTTTTCTTACAGTATAAATGTCTTGTCACTTTTGATCAATTTAAAGCATCCTTGCTGAAAAACTTATTAATTTATTTTTAAAAAAATCTTACTGACTCAAAACTTTTGAACTTTAGTATACATAACTAAACTGAATAGTTTTGATAAAATCTAACAAAAAACAAGCTCCACAGTTTGAGTCTATAAAAAACGAAAATTCACATAGGCTACGATTTTAGATTTTATTTGATCAAGACACACTTTTACACATTTAGCGATATGTCTTCAGATTTGTATGAGGAAGAAATATATGAGATTGAAGCAAATGAATGAATGAATGAAATAACATCAAAAACACAGGCTTCAGGACTTACATGGGCCACGGGGTCATTACTGCGTGTCCCAGCGATGCTGAGGCTTAGCACATGTGTGTTACGCTCCATAGCCTCAAAAATCGCTTTCAGGGTTGGGATGGGAATGTCCTACAGCAACACAAACAGTCGTCACTATTTCTTTCTGCTCATGCAGAGAAATGCATCAATTCTTATGATTAATAATGGTAATTGATCAGAAGTGAAAGTGTAACTGAAAGTGTAATTAGACAGTCTGTTTATAATATTAGTATTATGTCCAGTCTGTAATGTGATCATAATTATGCTTATTGAGGTGAGAGTACAGTTAGCATGTTTACCTGGATGTTGTTGAGGTTGACCTCCATCAGCCTGCTGTCGTTTTTCTGGATGAGGTGTAGAGTGTCCTCTACATCTGTGTCATTAGGAGGCTCTTCGGGATAGACCTTATACACATCTGGTTTCACCACACCTAAAAGAGTATTGACCAGCTTATATAGAACTATTGTATATAATGAAGTTAAAAAACACATATAAAACTTTTGTTTGACATTAAGTGGTTCAGTGTTAAATGTGCTGTATGTATACATACTGTTGATGCCTTCTGTGTTGGCAATCTTGCCAGTGGTGTTCAGGGCATCATAATATTGCTTGTTGCTCATGAGTGTGTACATTCCCAGGATAGCTGTGAGGATACAAGAATCTCATTAGTTAATGACATAAACATTCAATACTTCTGGACTACTCTTATGGGATACCAGTATATTAATAAAAACATATTAATAACTATACAAATAGAAATAACAATAATAATAATAATAATAATAAATATCAAATTGATAATAAAATTATCAATACGAATTCATTTTAAAGAATAAAATTAATAATTATCAGTGTAATTAAATATTTTAGATAATATATAAAATATAATTTAATAATTTATATTTTAATAGTTTAATATAAAAATATCACAATAATGATTATTATAATAATATGTTGATAAATGTATAATTATACATTTTTATAATGATACATTTATATTTATACATTTATATTGTAATAATAATTAATTAATAATTTAAAATTATATAATAATTAATACATTTTAATTACTCATTTAAGATAATTATTTTAATTAATATTATTACAATTGATAAAATAATAAACAAATAATGTTATATATAAATATAACTTTTTTTATTAGTTAATCTTTTATAGAATACATTTTGAGCAATGCTGGCACAAATCATTTAAGCTGCACTGCAGAGAACTGACTAGATATGTGTCAGTTAAACTGTAAAATTGCATATGAACACCAGGTGGCGCTGACTAACCAGTAAATCCACTATAAACTCCCACTCCAGGTTTCAATTAGCGGTACCTGGACTGGTGAAAAAATATTGTAGTAGTAGGGCAACAGCAGATAAAATTGGGATTGAGATAGACCAGACCTTCCCTTTGTACTACAGCTTGAATTCCATATTCAGATATAATAAGCACATTAAAACCACCAGTACTATTTAGAAATCCAGTTAGCTACCCTACATCTCAGCAAAAGCTGACTCATCCATTAAATCACCCTATTGACAGCTAAATCCTACACTGGACTGTTCCAGAGTTAAAACTGTATTCTGAATGAGGGGCTCTGCTGGGAAATCTGCAGCCAGTGACACACTCCGAAACTCCACAGCTTTAAATGTCCTTAAGGGCAAAGGCTTGTTATTAAGTGCTCACAACAGAAGCTCAGTGACAATTAGACTATTGACCGGTTTCCATCACTTTAGTATGTTAAATTAAGAATAATGTGAATTCTTTGTGTCTCATGTTGCATTTTTAATAGAAGCAGTAAGCTAAGTGATATTTATGTTAGGCTAAATGCTGCCTACACACAATCATAGAGTGTTTCTACCCTACAGATGACTTGCAGCCAACCCAAGACAGAAGTGCAAACATTTTCACTCCATCTCTGCTCATGTTGACTAGTTGGCTGTTGCTCATTTTATTTTGGTGAGCTGCTGAGCTTGGGGAAATAGATACTGTGTGGTATAATTCTGTGCATGACCTACACCATTCATAGTTCCACTTATAAGTCAGCTAGGCTGCTTCTTTTATATATATATATATATATTTTTTTTAAAGTTATCATATGAAACTCATCCGTCTGTAACTACATATTGGAACATGTTACAAAATATGGTCTTGTGTGATTATTACAGTAAAAATTATTTTTCTTTATGAGAGTTATTATTTTATTTTCCAATTAAATACCTAAACATTCCTCATATAACCCTTGGTGTATTCTTTTTTATTTTATTTTATATTAAGCATAACCTCATTTGTTAGATTTATACATAAGAAAGAAAACTTACATAAGGATATTTTCTCTGAAAACAGGTCTTAATATATCATGTGATTCTGCTTTTCAAGTAAACTGATCTAAGGATTTTTTTTTAAGAATTCTTAGATATTTTTACACAGAAAAATGTCTGCTGATACTGAAAGATTTTTGCATGTTTGCACATATAACTTTAAAGATGCTTTTGATGTGTAAATATTTCTAAGCAAATTACTTTTAAACTGTTAGTCAAACTGTAAGTCTGTAAGTTGGGCGATCAATGTTTACAATCATGTGGTAAAACCATTTGGAGACCAGTGAGGTAATGGGCTATAAATATATGCTAATGAACATTACTGCTAAATATCATACAATGAATCACAAGGATCTGTTATGTTCTGCACTCTTCATACACTCCTAATTCTTGATCAAATTAAATTAAATTAAATTAGCAGATTATTAGCGTTAGTGATGGCTGATTTTACATTATGGAAAAAATCAAAAAGACAAATGTGTGTTTGTGTTAGTTTTGGGTGTGTATTTGTGATTGTCTGTCTGTCATAGGTGTTAGACCGGAGTAGTGTGGCACTAATTTGTAAAGCCAGTGACACAAACACAGGATCAGAGAGCTAAGAACAGAAAATGAAAACTAAAGATTGTAGACATCAATCAACCCACCACAAGTTTACTGACCCCGGAAACAGCATTACCATCACCCAACTCAGCCCTCAACTCATTTCAAGAATAATTATGAATCGTTTGCAGAAAATTATGTTGTTTATTCAGATTTAGTTGCTTCAGATGTCTTTAGCTGGACTAACAGTAAAGCTAGAAATGCGAAATAGAGAACTGAATGAACTGAGTGGAGGATGGCTAAACTGCTTTGAATGAAAAATATTTGCTTGACATGGCTAAAATTAGAACTATTGTTATATATCTAACTAATCTTAATCTCTGTTCTGAACAAATTCAAATTACACTATCTTTTGTGAACGTCTAAATGACCTTGCCGTCAGAAATGGATAATGCATCTGACACCATTCTTTCAGGAACCTGTCAGTCTAGACTGATGGCTCAAGGATTATAAATAGCCAATAACTACTTTGTCTCTTCAGTCTTACAATAAACATACAGGCCAAAAGCAGGCCTTCTGCCGACCAGGTGTCATCTTTTTGTGTTGTGCACATATCCCAGGAAAGAGCGGCTGTCTGCCTGTTCCTAACACCTGTTCTCACAGCTCCTATATGACACCAACTCAAGCCTTAAAAGTATTAGTTGAGTTTCACCTGTTCAGGCTCACTAGTTGTGAAAAGGGTTTTTTAAATTAGTCCTTCAACGTGGAATCCTTCTTATTTCACTGTCGCAAGGCAGTGGCCAACATTTGACATTTCCAAATTGAGAAAATATTTCTTTAACTCAATTTATTTTTAGTTAGTAAAGTATTTTCAAAAAAAAAATATTAAGGCACAACATGCAAATTATAATTAGATCTTTTGAATAAAAATGTAATGTCCTGTGCTCGGAGTTCAATTGAATTGATTTATGTTGAACAGATATCATTTTAAAAATGTCATAATATGGCATTCTAATTTTAATTATTGTAATGATTAAACTGCAAATCAAAACAAACTAAATCTAAAATGGCATGCGTATTAAATTGTTTAAGTGATAAAAGTTGTGGGGAAAAAAATAAAAACAATAGACAAAACTAGGCAGAAATTCCACACTCTTAAAAGGTTCCGAAGAAGAATCCTTTTGGGTTCCACAAAAAACCTTTAAGTAAACAGTTATAAAAAGACCAATTTTTTCTGAGTGTGAAGAACATCTAAAGAACCTTACTCCAATATAAAGAAATTTTTGTCAAATGGAAAAGTTCCATGGATGTTCTTCATGGAACCAAAGATAGCAATAAAGAACCTTCATGTTTAAGAGTGTAATGGCATCTATGGGACCATGAAGAACCTTTAACATGCATGGAAACTTTCCATTGCACAAGGTTCTTTATAGTGGAAAAAAGTTCTTCAGATTATTAAAACCTTCTTCACAGTAAGCAAAAGAATTGTTCAGTAAAAGGTGAACCCAACATGGTTCTTCTATCTATGGCATGGCTGCAAAAAAAAACAAAAAAACATCTTGGAACTTTTATTTTTAGTCCTTCCTTGTTTCTGCTTTTTTTCTTGAAAAACATGGCAATTTCAAACTGCAAACTGACTAAACACCTCCAAATGCAATCTGACTTTGCTGACTGCTTTCCTTCTAGAGGCCATAAAGTTATTATCGTCCATATGACAAAAACTTTGGTTGGGTCTCAGAAACCCAATTCCCCCTCTGGTACTTCAGAAGGACACAGAACAAATTTCGGGCACTGACACATCAGATACCCTATCATCCACCAGAAACACTAAAAGTGATTTTGCAAGTGTCCAGAGCTCTCCTGATGTGCAGCATGAGCCTAAAAAGAACCTTCTTATTCAGATCCATAGTTCAGTTATGGAGTTTGATCATTCAGCATTTTCCAGCTGACACACAGCTCATAAGACCTCACACTATTTGTAGGTTGACTTCACCAAGTCGAACCACCCAAGTGTAAAATTCCAAATCAACCCTCAGATTAATTTTAGCTTCACAAGTCAGCTACTTCCAGCTGCATAAATCCTCTCCGCTTGCAAAGCTGCAGTGTGCAGCAGTACTGCAAAGCAAGGCTGGTTGGGAAAATAAGGGCTGTTTTGAAAAAAAAAAATTTATGTCTAAGAACATTATACCACCAAAGAAAGGATGACAATCAGCTGGTATTAAAAACTTAATTTTAAATAAAAGAAAGATTGTTTAAAGATTGTTAAGGATTGTTGTTTTGACATGCACTCACAGCAACAGGTGCATCTGCAGGAAGACTCTGCAAAACACTGTTCTCCATAAAGCCTTAACTAAAAAATTATCCAACTAATCCAACAAGATCTAGAGTCTCTAACTATCTACTAACTGGACCTTTAACTTTTACTATACACTTTACACTACAAACCACCCACTGGGGCGTCTATCTATGAACTACACTAAAATGATTGCTTCAACAAAATCACCAAAACAATAATTCACGAAATTAGCAGCTGACTGCAACAATAAGTGCATTTTAAATTTGAAATAAATAAAATAAGTCAGTAAAAAAAGCAAATCCTGCTTACTATACATAACTATATGCAGTGTCCAAAAAACTTATAATAATGTGGTCCTGGTGCTAAAAGAGACACACAGACACAGATTATAGAAAGACAGTTAGTGTGTTACCTACCCTCACTAGGACTCAGAGCTGCTGGGATCTGCTGTACAGCAACTCTATGTTTGAAATCAGAGAATAGCCCTCGGTCGCCCCCCTCCCCGGTAGCCGTTCCCCCCTTAAGCCCTTCCTTCTTCGCTCGCCTGCTATCTGGGTTGAGCTGAGACAGGGATACGAGCTACTCTTCATGAGGTCAGCATTTCATTATTTGGGCTTTGAGAGATTAGTGACTATGAAACAGAGGGACAGAGAGAGGCTCCATGTAGTCATCTGTTTGATTAATTCAGGTTTACTCGTTAAACGCGTAACATTTTAGTAGAGAGGAGTGACCTCTAGGGTATAGAGGCGGTATTGCAAGTCAGAGAGACCCCAGTTTGAAGATCTGCTATCTCTGTTTCGAATTTAATGTTGAAGTTTTTACATTGGCTGCATTTAGTAGTAAGTGGGATCTTTCCAACATGAGCTCATTTTATAGGTGACCCACATTTTTCTTAATTATTATAAAAAAATAATGATATCTAAAAGGCTACATGACAGCAATCTTTAATGCTGTTTTTAATAATATGAACACATCATAAATACATATTACTACATAATCAAGTACATTAAACAGTGCATTAAATAAATAAATCATAAAACAAAAATTTAAAGAAATTATGAAATTAAGCACAAAAAAAAATTTCAACAATGCAGCTTATTGCACTTACAAATACACTGGACAGAGATTTGACAGCAAACAGTTCTATCTATGCAGTTGTATGTCACCAAAGAAAATGTTTTGGACGGACGGACAGATAGATAGATAGCTAGATAGAAATATTTTTTTAATTTTCATAATTCACAATTTATGTATACAGTGCAACAGCAAAAATTGTGAGGAAAAAAATGTCACATTTGTGTAGAGCATTTTCTATAACTACAAGTCAAGCTGCAATACCAAATGGAGATGCCAACAGACCACTATACCAGTCGCCTTAACCGGACTGTATATAAATATGTATGGATCCATTCAGAATTATTAAACTGAGCAAAACACAAGTTTCAAGAATTTCAAATGTGGCGATCTGAAGGCAGCTCAACATGACCAGTGATCAGTTCCAATGTCAGAGTGAGTGTTGATGCCCATATGTATAAACACTGACCATTGCAAACTCCTATAAAAACACACTTCATCAGCGAGTGTCCATTATAAAACACCTGCCAGACATGCAATCATACTGAAATATGCTTGTGCAAAAAGCTATCAGAGAGCGCACACACGGTCTGTTTATTTGCACACTAATAATAACGGACTCGCGTGTCTAATAATGTATGACTCCCGTATGTCACTGTAATCTTCTTTACCTCCATAACAATCGTCATCCATCAAAACTTTACTGGTAAGTTGGTTTGCTTTCAGGCCATATAGACTAGTCCTGACTTCAGCTTAAAGATAATTAAGAGAGGGATGTCCAAAGGCAGAACAAACATTCTAGAACAGTGACAGCTATAACACTGTGGTTGAATTTGATAGAAGAAAATCCCTCCTTCACACTTTGGTGGTGCATCACCCTATCGCCCTAATGAAGAAACCGCCCCTGATTGACTGACTGATTGATTTCCTCTGTTCTCTTTCACTACCTACTTGTCCATCTTACTTGTGTATTGTTCTACATGCCTTGTTATACTCTGACCTTCTGGCGCAGATTCTTTGCAGTGGAGTCAGCTGGAGTCGCTGTGCCAGTGCAGGGCAGGCCATGGGCAGCCACATACTTTTTATAGGCTTCCCGGATGCTCCTAAAGGCTTGTATATTAGCGTAGGGAATGTCTGTGATGGGGTCTCGGTAGAGCGCAGGCTTATGTGTAACAGGGCCAGATCTCCTGGACAGGAATTCGAGGAGTTAGGGACTGGGGAAAGAAATGGAAGGATTCATCTTCACTGAATGTGATGTAGGTGCAGGAGCATTTGGCAGGCCCTGATGACAGGGAAGGGTTTACAGCAGCTGCATTAGTGGAGAGGACACTAGGCGGCGCAGTAAGAGTTGATTCTGACTGGGAAAAAGCTTGTGGAGGATGAGGGCCTGGATTCTGCTGGGCGTCTTGGTCCAAACTGTTAATGAGACGTAATGTTAAAAAATATCAATATAAGAGCTATAAAGACAAAAATAGAGGTACGCTCATTTTTTTCTCATTAAAATTTTAAACAAATTTTTAAATTATTTGTGTGTGTGTGTGTGTGTGTGTGTGTGTGTATATATATATATATACTTATAGTTTAAAGTTAGCAGTACTCATATGTATTGGTTTCAAAACTTGAATGGTTTAAGGCAATCGGTTTCCTCAAACGGTTTGAGTTAACCTAACTTGTCGGGGTTTACAGTGTATATATATACTGTATATGTATGCTTTTTTCCACAACCATAACCAAGATAAAAATCAACCTTCAATCTTTAAGTTTTTAGTTATTATAAATTAATCTTAATTAATACATTTTCAATAATAAAGTTAAAATTTTTGGCACAACTGCATCTGTACCCTAAGATGACAAAGTTAAACAGTGAAGCCAACAGCATGATTACAATTTTGAATTTGTATAAAATGATAGTTTTGAAATAAAAAATTTTTTTGTCTTTTAAAAATTCATGTGATTTTTAAATTGTTTATTCTATTTATATTATACTTAAAAAAGCATGTTTAACATGTTTGTTTAAATTAAAAATATATATATTTTACACATGTAAAATTAAATAGTTGTTATGAAAAATGTTTAAAATGATGCATGCACACATAAGAAGCAAAACAAACCTCTAAACAGAAAAAAAAAATCACATACTTTTGATTCTGTCTTTTTAGGTCAAATCAATGAATGGAGGAGTATTTGTAAACATGAGAACACTTATTTACATATTTTTAAGCGCCAGGCAATATAAAGGTTATTATAGATACATAGTGTACACACCCACTGAAAGACAATAAAAGTCTTAAGTCTAAAATGCAAGAGAAGTAAAAATTAAACATTCAGGAAGAGATGAGGAACTAGGTGAAGTACCCCTCTACATCCACGTTTTCCTCTTTAAGAGTGACATCAGACACCAGGGGCATGAGCACAGAGTGAAAGCGGATAACAGAACCCACACACTGACGCTTCATATGAACCTGTCGTTTCTTATCTGCCTCCAAACGCTCATAGTTTTCTGCCAAAAAAATTCATTAACAGCTATGAGCATTCAGGTTTTATAGACAGAACAATTTGCAGTTATCAGTTATCAATTCCTTACCCAGTGATCGAAGATTAATCTGTGCTGTGATCTTGGCCTCTGCCAAAAGTTCCGCCTGGGTCAAAGGTCGCTCATGTCTAGTACCCTTTCTTCGACGTGGAGCAACCTGCCTCTCTTGCAGCCTTAGGTACGTCAGCCGTGTGTATTCTGTTGTTGACTGACGTACCGACTTCCTGTCTAAGACCAAAACAATTTCAAAGTTTACTAAAATGTACTACACATTCTCCGCAGTTTATGATGTGGTTGCCACGTGCTTAAGTTGTTGGTGTTTAAGGAAGGGATGTAAACCTGACTCACTGACAGCTAGCCAACAAACACGTTTTATTGCACTGGAATCTAATTCACATGAAGAAGAAACAGTTCTGTTGTTGACTGACGTACCGACTTCCTGTCTAAGACCAAAACAATTTCAAAGTTTACTAAAATGTACTATGACACATTCTCCGCAGTTTATGATGTGGTTGCCACGTGCTTAAGTTGTTGGTGTTTAAGGAAGGGATGTAAACCTGACTCACTGACAGCTAGCCAACAAACACGTTTTATTGCACTGGAATCTAATTCACATGAAGAAGAAACAATGACTTCAGAACCTGATGTTATTTTGTTTGTGCTTTATGAGTATAATGTAAATGTCCAATCAGAGGTTCATCGAAATGTTTTATTATTTTTGGAAACCTCTGTTATCATTACCATCCATTCACTTCCTGTTGGATAATGTTGTTGATATATACGGTTTGCTTTCTTCATAAAAAAACAATTTTTATGGCAGTCATATCTAGGAAAAAGGAAGGGTAAATATGTAAAAAAATGTATAAGAATAAAATAAAATAAGAATAATAAAATAATACATTTGTGAATCATTGCATAAAAATAATAAAGAAAATAGATTTTAAGCAACTAATCACATAAAACAGAATGCAACAAAATTGATAAATCAGAATAACTGATATATTTTCACACATACATAAAATTATTTGAAAATATGAAAATATACAGAATAATATATTGTTAACATATTACAACATATTGAATTATCACTTGTCTTTTCTTATAATGAATATATAAATCACTCAATCCATCAAGTTAAACATGTCGTGTCATCTCATTTTCCACCAACCACCATGTTGCCATGATTTTAACAAGACATCCAACTGTCCAAAAATCTCAAATAAACTGTAACATTTCTTTTCAGTAAAAACTTTATTTCTGATATACCATTACATATATTTTATATATGAAATGTGTAACTATGCAAACAATAAATTGAGACAAAAGTGTATGAATATGTTCAGCTTTATGTACACCTATGCATTAACTCATGAAAAAGAAATTAATGAACTATTAATGTTTTAATAAAGATATACATGTAAAAAATATAATAGTATTATTTCATATATTGCATTATATTTTCCAGTATATTCCCATACTTTTGCATCTAATGACATATACTTTTACCATATACATACAGTACATACCATATACTTGTTACACTAATGACAAAACTTCTGTTATGTATGTCTGGTTATGTCACATGTGCATGTGTAAATAAAGTGCAAAACTCTCACTTTTGCTGATGTCCTCCTGTAGTTCAGGGGGGTTGTATTTGTTGATCTTTGTCTTGTCTGTCCTCCTGGGCAGTTCAGCCAGTTTCCGTTGTTTTGGATTACAAGTGGCGTAAAAATATGAAAATTATCTGCCATTATTTACTTTATGTACAGAACGTACTGGTCACTCTTTTATACACAATTACAAAGAATAAGGACTGAAACATCAAAAGGATGCAAAAGAATGAATAAATGAATCATAAAACTAGTCCATATGACTCACGCACTATATTTCCAGTCATCTGAAGCTATTAATGGTAGTTTTTATGATGGTTTTATGGTTCTTTCTCTTAGTAACCCTCCTATACCTTGTAGGCTTTGGTCACCACTCTGCTCTTCCGACGTGGCCCATCCTCCTCCTGCTCGCTGTCAGGTTCATCCCTTTCATCAATGTCAAAGTCACTGTCCACTTCATCTTCCGTTTCAGACAAGTCGCCCTTGTATTCTTCATCACCTGATTCCTGCAGAAATCAAGTTTTCAGGACTCAAAGTCACAGAGGAGACACTAGACAGGTGCATATTATTTGCATAGCGCATGGATTACATTCAATTAAAATATATAACGTATACAATATATACAGTATCTAATTTATTAGAATAATACTTTGTATAAATTTGTTGAAATACATGTCTGCCCTATTATTGTGTTCTTTATATACATACTGTAAAAAGCTATGCATATATTTATATATATAGTAATGTACATTCAGTTAGAATATATAAATTATACAATATATACTATATCTAATTTATTAGAATAATATTTTTAAAGCTGCTTTGCAAAATAAACAGTAAAAATCTCTATACAATACATTGAGTTGAGCTGAATTCAAATAAATTTAAAGCGTAGCAAATAACCAAACAGAATAACTTAATGTGAAATAATCAAAATGTAAAATTATATACAAAATACATATAAATATCATTTACTGTATATCATTTTTTAAAAATCATTTTTATTTTTGTGATTTTTTTAGCATTGGTGGACTAAATAAATGCACAATGACTCTATAGAGTCATGTGATAGTGATCTCCTGACAGTCTCAAAACAATAATAATCCGGGTGACGGGGCATATTCTTACAGGTACGAGTCCAAACGTCCATGCTGAAGTATAAATGTATTACAGCTGCGGAAATGTGTCAACACAAGCCCGTGATGACAAGCCGCACAGGTGATATTTCATCACTCACGTCGGGAAATCCTCCATAGGTGGTCTTGTAGAACTCGTCCTCATCCTCTGCATCCATCCATCAGACTGGACATGCGGTTACCCGCAGTCTTTCGAGGAGCCCTGCTGAAAGCTAAACTCATCCTGACACCTAAATCTATTTCACAGATACGTAAAGATGAAAATATATGTATTTATAATTAAAATGAATGGCATGATAAGTTAAAATAGAGCAGGGGACCAGATTTCAGGATATATAGGACTCAAATCTGTTGCATAAAGCAAAATATTACTGTATCATCAGGAGCGCATTTGTAGGTTTTGAAAATATTATC